CCTCACACATCCCAGAACCTGTAGCGGCTGTCTATTCCACCTTCCTCTTTCCCAGTCATTTGTTCTCCAGCACATCAGCCCACTCCCACCTCGGGCCTTTGCACATACTGGTTTGCCTGGAAGACCCTGAGGGTCTTCACCTGGCATTTATCTTGCTTGATTCTTGGCTTCCTTATTATGTTTCTATCCCCACCTCCAGAGTATGGTCTGTGGTTCCTCTGGAGGCCTGTCTGCCACTTTCTGCCTTCATTTCCCTCACTGGGAAATGGGCACCTGGGCATGGTGGTCACAGCATGACCTCATGGAAAGGTGTGGATTAAGCGCTTACAACTGTGCCTAGCAGAGAGTAAACATTCAATAAGCACTTAGCAACAGTTCCATGAGCTAGCTGCTGAAGGATAAACAACGTGGTCCATCCACACAGTGGAGTATTATTCAGCCACAACAAGGAGTGACACACTACAATGTGGAGGAACCTCGAAAATGATGCCGAGAGAAACCAGACACAAAAGGCCACATGTTGTATGATTTCATTTATTTGAAATGTCCAGAACAACCAAATCCATAGATACAGGAAGCAGATTTGTGGTTTAGGGGCTGGTGCAGGTGGGAACAGATATGGTTTCTTTTTGGGATGAAAATGTTCTGGAACCAGATAGAGCTGGTTGCACAATATTGTGAAGGGCACCAAATTGCTCACTTTAAAATGGTCCATTTTATGTTAGTGAATGTTACCCACTTAGAAATAATAAAAAGGACACTGGGTAAAAGCAGGAACTCCTGGCCATGTGCCTCGGTTGGTTGGGTGTCGTCCTGTGCACCGAAAGTTGCTAGTCTGATTCCTGGTCAGAGCACATCCCGGGGTTGCCGGCTTGATCCCTGGTGCGGGAGGTAGACGCTTATTTCTCTCTCTCCTTCTCCCATCTTCTCTGTTAGGACACAGTGTGACAGGAGGCTGAATGGCTGGGATGATGTCAAGGACGTCTGGGTGCCTTGAAGAGGACAGTCTGCCCCCCAGGGGAGAGGGAGAAAGAAGGACCTACAACCTATGAGGGGTCTCACAGCAAGTAGGGGAGGCTATGGGGTTCAGTCCAGCTGAGGGCTCTTTTGGGGAGCCTGCTTTCTACAGACTTGTGGACACAAACAGCAAGAATAATTTTCTTGCCCTGGCTGGTTTGGCTCAGTGGATAGAGCATTGGTCTGCAGACTTAAGGGGCCTAGGTTTGGTTCATTTCTGGTCAGGGGCACATGCTTGGGTTGTGGGCTGATCCCCAGCAGGGGTCATGCAGAAGGCAGCCAATCAATGATTCTCTCTCATGATTGATATTTCTATCTCCCTCTCCCTTCCTCTCTGAAATCAATAAAAATATATTTTTTAAAAAAACAGTTTTCTCATTTTTAAGGAAAACAGTTAAGATATCCCTGGATAGTGTTGCTGCATCCAGGCATCCCCCTCCAAGAAAAGACTTCTAGGGGTTTCAGGAAAGGTTGCTTTTCCAGAATGTTCCGTGGAAAACTGCATCCTGGTCTCCATGGTGACAGTGGAGGCCGGCCACTGCACCACAGTCCACATGCATTTAGAGACAACCTCCAACCCTGGTCACCAGGGACACTCAATGTGCTAGAGGGTCACAACATGGAGGGACAGGACCTGGGGTGCTCACAGGAATGGTTTTCACAGGAACAGAAGGGAATGAGGGAGGGGAAGGCTCATGAGGACCTGCAGAGTATTTTTAGGCACTGAATGTAGCCCTGAAATATTTCCACGGCCACTCCCGACAGTGAGCTGGGTGACTATTTCAGTGCCTGGTTCCAGTGGAGGCGGGGCACGGATGAGTCACCCCTGGGTGACTGGGCCTAGACCGGAAGGGGCCTGTGAGGTGACTGCTCACCAGGCCAGGCATCTGGTGCCAGCCTCTGGGGCATAGAGGACAGCGGCCTGGCAATTGCCCATTGGATGGCATCACTGCTTACCCCCCCCCCCCCCCCGCCCCGCCATGGGCCAATCATCCTGACCTGGAGATTTACAGGGAGTGGGGGGAGCTCAGGCGCTCCACAGGTGCTCATTGAAGCACCACTGAGCGCTTCGGAGCATGAATAGAGTGTTTGTTGTATAGCAAGCATTCCCTCCAGTAACTCTCCCAACAACCCCGTGAGGTAGACTCAGACTTGTTACCAGCAGGCACGGGGGTGGGGGTGTGTGTGTGTTTTAAACCTGCAGGGCCCTATGTGCCTTGAACCCTGTCTCTCAGTTGAAACCATAGTAAGGGGAGTGAATTTTTAAGCAGGAGGCTATCTTGCCTCTTCCCTGCCCCAACTGACTCTAGACTCCTGACTCTGCTTGACACAACAGAACTGAGAGAAGGTAAATGGATCCCCTAAGTTCAAGGACGAAACAGGGAGGAGCTATGTGACCTGGGTCAGGTACCCATCCTCTCTGTGCCTAAGTGTGGGAGCAGGCCATAGAATCTCCGGGAGCTTGCACTTGCTGTTCCCACCACCATCTCTGCTCTCCTCCCATGACCAGTGCCTTTTTGTCCTTCCAGAGCTGGTTTGACTGTGTCCCCTCATTGGGGCCTCTCCCCTCCCCCCCCCCCCCCCCCCCCCCCTGTGGAAAGGTCCCCCGGTGTCCTGGGGTTATTGTGGAATGGGCAGCCCATTTGCCTGGGTCCTCATGGCAGCCTTGCTCCTTGTTCCACCTCATGGCCTCCATGAGGGGCTTTACTGGTTTCTTAAAACCAATAAAGAAGTTCCAAGTCCCCAGAACTACCTCTTCCTGGTCTCCTGGCTTCACCTTGGCCCTCAGTGTTCCAGAGCCCTCTGTCGCTTCCCATCTCAGTCAGGGCCTGCACCAACCCATTTCCTGCCCCCCTTCACTCTGCTCCCATCACCTATCTGCACAGAGGCTCTGCATGGGCTGTTCCTCCATCTGAACTCTCCCCCAAGACAGCCGGCTCCCTTGCCTCCCTCAAGCCCTTCTCACACATCACCTTCTTGCCTTCTCTGACCACCTCTACTTTCTCCTCCAAAAGCACCTGGATGGGTTGTGGCCCCTGTTCCTGTCCTAAGCCAGCCCTCTGTTCCTGCTGTGGCAGGTGGCCTCTCCCATTGAGTGGACAGCAGGCCTCTCCCGAACCCCCCTCCCCTGGCTAAGCAGCCAGCCCTTTGTCCACAGGGGGGTGGCAGAGGACCCCGGGGCACATGCTGAGCCACCGGAGACACTTACTGCCAATGCCAGGAGGAGCCTGGCACCAAGGTCCAATTGGCGGGTGGGAAGGACAGCTGCTGTCACACCCCCTGGAGGTGGTGGTGGTGGGCTCAGTGCAGGCATCAAGGAAGGATGACTTGGAGGTGTGTGCAGGCAAGGGTGACACAGAAAAGCAACAGAGACACCTCCCACAGCTGTATCTGTCCCAGAAACGGGCTCTTGGCCCCAGGCTAAATCACACCTGAGTGAGGGAGGCTCCCTGATGGCCACCAGGAGCAAACTCCAGGGGGAGGAGGTCACTGCCACATTTGAGGATCCTGCATTGTCTGCGGACAGACCATCAGGACAGAAAGACTGAGGCCCCTTACTTTTGGTTTCTCTTACTGAGGGTTTGAGGCTGGTTTCTTCAAACCAATAAGGAAGAAGACAAACAGGGCTGTCCTAACAGCCAGCTCAAGGCAGGGCATTCAGGAAGCCCAGACACCTAAGTGCAGGGCTAGGGCAGTGGTTTATGTCTGGGGTAAGATGACAGGACAGCTAGCCAAGCTGACCTTTGGAAAGGTCAGGGCCAGGTGGCTGGGGCTAAGGGCAGTGTGGTGACCAGAGACAGGCTAACATCCCTGAACTTCAGAAGGATACAAGGTGCTGGGAACCTCCGGACACTCTTGGTCCAAATCACAGTTAAACTGCCAGGAGCAGGCCCCCAAAAGACTTCCCATCACAGCCCATGGGACACTTGATCCCAGAGCCCCCATTTCATCAAAGCTCCACCAGACAGAACACCTGTGTCATGAGCCTGTTCCCAACCCCGCGGACCAGGAACCCAGAGGCCTTCGGTAGAGAGAGATGATGCTAGGAGAGGTGGGGGTGGGAGCCAGCAGGCCCCGACAGGGCCCAGCCTTGCCACCAACACTCCGCTGTTTTGCAAGAACCATTCACACCAGAGTTCACCCAAACAGAGAAGGCGACTGCCTCGAGTAATGTTTGTGTTTTCTTAAGCTTCTCCCCTCTTCTCCAAGGCACCACCATCCACAATGCGTGAAACTCTTGCCTTTCATAAGAAAATGTAGGACACGGTAAAAGTCCTGTTGAAAGTGCTTACCCTCCGCGAGATGTGCTGCAGGCCTAGAAAGGAAACTTCCTACAGGGCTGTGACTTACCGAGGATACCACATGCTATCATGTGCCAGTGGTTCAAAAGAAACTTCGGATTGGTGGTTGGTAGTTGTTTTGTTTTTATTTTTGTAACACAAAAGAGGGAGAAAAGCAAAGGAACAGGGCCCCACCAAGGCCCCACAACAGCATCTGAAGCACATGTCTGTGCGGATTTGTTCTGAAAAAACAGTGTCAGGTCTGTCTCAGGAAAACTCCCTGGACTGTCAATCTCAGTGCAAAGACCTTAAAATGAAAACTTCCCATCTGTTTGCCACACAGGGATCCAACAAGAGATGCAAAACAAACCTATTTGGAAAATGCCCCCGATAACACAAGGGGGAAGGCTCTACAGATGCATTCACACACAGAGCCTTCCAGGAATCAAGTTGGCTGCGACTTCACAAAATCAAAACCACCAAATAATATTTTCAACTGTAGAAATGCTGGCTTAAAAAAAGAACGTAATGCCTGGCAGTGTGGCTTGGGTGATTGGAGCACTGTCCTGTACACCAAAAGGTTGCAGTTTCAATTCCCAGTCAGGGCACATATCCAGGTTGCGGGCTCCATCCCCAGTCAGGGTACATGCCGGAGGCAGTAGATTGATGATGTTTTTCTCACATCCATGTTTCTCTCTTTCTCTCCCTTCTATCAAAAATTAATTAAAAAAAAAAGACAACATAAAGAGGAGGACCATAAGATGCACAGGTGGGGTCCCCCCAACACCTGCCTCTTTTTTTCTGTTCTGAACAGACTCATGGACGGGAGCAGACATGCGGCCTGTTGGGGGAGGGCTTAAGTCTCTGGGTAATGCAGGGCCAGCTCACTGTTTACCCGCCTGCCTGCCGGGCTTCTTTTCTGGCTGACCTCTGCCAGTGCCTGGGATCCCGCCTCTGCCACGGCCGCCAAACACACCTGCAGGACAGAAGTGGGGGCTGCATGGGAGCCAGGCTCCAGGGTAGGGCCCCCCTATGTAAAGTGGGGAAAAGCAGGCTGAAAATCTGGGGTGGAGTGTCTGACCAGAGCTGGGTATGGGTGGTGCTCGAGAATGTCCTCAGTGTGACAGAAGAGACCAGATCCCCCAGGTTGCAAAGGGTATGAGGAAGGAGAGAGGAGGACCACAAGTCACATCGAGGCTTGGGTCAGGCTTCCTGGGAGAGAGGGACGGGGGCTGGGGTGGGGGCTTGGGCTATGGAGTAAGTGGAGCAGGAGCCAGGACAGGGGCAGGACTCTGGCCAGGGGTGGAGCAGAGACCCCCAACTCTGAGGCTAAGGTGTACACGGGGGACCCAGGACCTCCCGCACACTAACACCATCCTGTAGGTCCAGTGACCAATGCTGGCACGGGGTGCCCCATCTCACCTCTCATGGTCAAGACCAGCTTTGCCAAGGTGGCTTCTCTTCAGAGTGGCCTGCGCAGGCCACTCCCCCCACCCTCCTTGCAGCTTAGTCACCAGTGGTACCCCCCCAGTGCAAAGAGCCTGGCCTTAGGTATCAGACAGCCCCTGAGAATTCAGGGCCCACTAACCCCCCGTTTCTGTCAACCCTCCACCTGAAGTGCCCTGTCACCCGAGTCTGGCTGAGAGCTGGCTCCAGGCCTGGCATTCAGAAGGTCCATACATAAGAAGAGAAGAGGGCAGGCCACTCCAAGAACAGGCACCCAACCAGGAAGGTGGGGCTTACAGACGGCCTCTAGGCTCAGGCCCCAGCTGACTGCACAACAAATTTAATTGTATGCCAGAGTTGTCATGTCAAGGCAGTGAGGGGAGTCTATAAAAAAGGTGTGACCTTGGCATCAAGGAGTCAGGGCAGGGAAGGGTTCTGTGCCAGGCCCTGAGTTGGGGTCCTTGCCCGCAGCCTGAGCAGGTGGGCACCACCAGATCCTCTCTACAGAGGGGAAACTGAGACTCAGGGAGGTGCCAGGCCATGCCCAGAGATGAGAGATTAACGCCCAGGTCTGCATGGCACCAGATCAATCCACTGGGCACCAAGGACTCAGCTGGGACCCCGAGTTGGGGTCTGGGACAGATGGCAGTCAGCAGCAATAGCCACTCCACAGAAGAGCCCTGTGAGTCACAGCCCCCCTGGCTCTGCTGCAGGGGGGCGGGGGGGAGGGGGGGTGGAGTTGAGGGGAGAGGCTCAGAGCCAGGCCTGCTGCACTGTGAGAGCACCAGCCAAGAATGTCAACACTGCGCTGAAATAGATGCCACGTGCTGCAGCCACTTGTGTGTGTGTGTGTGTGTGTGTGTGTGTAGGACCTACCTCGTCCAGCACCCCCCATGCCACGTCCTTTCTGCTGCTTCTGCTGCTGCAGGCCCCCACGGCCACGACCCTTGGCCACCACCTCTTCTTTGACCATGTCAATGATCTCATCGGGGATGCGCAGGTACTTGATGGTGCTGCCGCGGATGTAGCACTCGGGCATCCGCCAGAACTTGTCCCCATCCTGCACAACAGGGGGTGGGGATCTCAGATCCATGCGGGTCCCTTCAGAGTGGGTACAGACAGCTGGGTGCCACCTGTATCTCTGGCATCACCCCTGTAGGCTGCCAAGGACACAGTCCCAGATATGACACGAGGCCTCTCTAAAGGGGGTCTTACAGACCCTCAGCACCCTTGGCACAAGAGGAAGAGCGGCAGAGCTACATGGGAGATGGTGTCAATCTGTCCTCCAGTGTGGGATGGGGTTTGTTACCTGCAGCCCAAAGCCCAGGGTAGGGGGCTGCCCCATGCACCAGGTGCTGCCACAACCCACCTCCTGTCTGCACCTGTCCCCAGCCTTCTAGAACACACCTTCTGGAACCTTTTCTAGGGAGGTGCCATGCCATGCCCAGACACAGGTAGGTATGGAGACGAGGGCTTAAAGCCCAGGTCTGTGTGGGCACCAGATCAATCTGCTGGGCTGGACCTAGAGCTGACTCATTCATTCATCCAACTATCTCCTGGCAGAGGCTGAGCTTGGTGTGGGACACAGGCCAGCAGGAAGACATCCTATGTGACAGGTGAAGAGGTCCAGGAGGGGAAAGGGGAGGCAGGTTTGGCCCTCGCCAGGGTTAGCTCCCCAAGATGCCAATTTTCAGGGGAGCTAATTGAGGCTGGAGAGAGAGGGGGTTTGCAAAGTAAAAACCCTGTGGTTCCACCCTAGCCGGCTTGGCTCAGTGGATAGAGCATCGGCCTGCGGACTGAAGGGTCCCAGGTTCGATTCTGGCCAAGGGCACATGCCTGGGTTGCGGGCTCCATCCCCAGTGTGGGGTGTGCAGGAGGCAGCCAATCAATGATTCTCTCTCATCACTGATGTTTCTATCTCTCTCCTTCTCCCTTCCTCTCTGAAATCAATAAAGAAATATATATATTTTTAAAAGCCCTGTGGTTCCTAGGATACAGACTACCCCTCCCCGCAACCCCGTATCTTGGAACCAGCACAAGGCCTTTCCCTGAAGTCCCCTCCTGCTGCCCTTGGGTAGGAGCCTAGGGCCTCATATTCGTTTCCCAGCCCCACCCCTATTGCCTAGAGCCAGAAGCCTGGGCAGCCTTTTCCTCTCCCCACACCCTTAGAAATCAGACCAAGACCTCTCCCTGCTTAGAACCCAGCCAGGGTCCCTTGGCCAAGGACCAGGGGAGCGCCTAAGATCCAGCCCCACCCTGGCTGCCCTCTCTGGGTACTGAACACACCTTCCAGATGAAACTTTCTGGAACACACAAGGAGGGCTTTCCTGCCTCTAGGACTTTGCACACACCGTTCCCGCCTTTCCTTGTCCAGCTAATTCTGGTCCTTGACAGGGCTTGCCTTCCAGGCTCCCTGAAATCCCCAGTCCTCTCACTTGACACTCACCAGCAGTCTGGTCTGGCCCAGCATAAGCACTCGGAGGGTCAGACGGAATATTCGAGGGCTAACTCTTCCCAGGAACGTACATGAGCTCCCATCCCACACAGGAACCCCACGAGGCCCTGCACATTCCTTTCCCAGAAAGAGTGGGCGAGGGGCCAAGTCCATGGGGATGCAAAGTACAGCCAGATAGAACCAGAAGGATTCCATGGAAGCTGGAGGCCAGGGCTGGGGCTGGCTGCTCCTTGACTGGCTTTCCCTCAGCCAAGGACAGTCCAGGCTCAGTACGCTCCCTGCAGGAACCTCACTCTGCTTTCCATGGCAGTTTAGCGCCCGCCAACCAGTGCTCCCCTGGGACCTTAGCCCCTGGGGTCTCTGGACTCTGCCACCCACTGCCCAAGGGATTTCAAACCTCATCCCAGCCTCTCCTCCCAACCACCTGGTCACAGAGGGAACTCCCAGAGGAGCCATGTTTCTAGGCTTAGCTGACTCTGGAGGCTGGACCAAACTTTCCCCGAACCCCGTAGTTGGTTCTACAAGTGGACACAGACCTACTGGCCATGTGCAGAAAGACACATGCACGCCAGGCCATGCACTGCAGCACTGTCTGCTAGGACTATAATGGAGCTGCCCTACACCTGCTGCCTGTCATGTGGCAAGAAAACCAGGAGAGAGCTTCCAGCTGATGTGGAAGCTCGTGCCCCATTACAGGAAACAGGTCATGGAGCTGTGTAGGTGAGGGGAGGGGCCATGCCCACTAGTCTGCCCGTTGGAGTGTGAACCATGCAGAAGGATGGACCAGGGGTGGGGACTGTCTTATGCTGTGCTGTACTCTGGCATGGCAAACCCTAGGGGCATGCTGCCCTCCGGCTCAAGACAGCTCCAACCTGGCTAAGGCCCCCAGCAGCTTCTTCCTTTGTAACCTGGGGGGCTATTGCGGGCATGGGGACCAAGACTGGAATCCAGGCAGAAGGCTAGAGCCCATGCACATTATTGGGAGAGCGCCTGCCTCCACCGCCGTCCTTGTCCTCATGGCTCTGGGGTCTTCCCAGCCTGTGACCCCAGGGACACTTCCCAGCCCTGGGAGCTCAGGTTCTGGCCCTGCAGTTCCTGGGGAAGGTAAGCGAGCCTCTGGGGCCACAGGGCTGTCCTTGCCCCCAGATACCCCATCGCCACACCACCATGGCCTGCAGCCTGGAACCGCAGCAGCCAAGGCTGCCACTAGACTTGTCTCCAGAAGCACCCCCTCAGGCCTGAGTCTTCCTTTGTCAGGGGTGGAAGCAGGGGCAGGAGGAGAGGGATAACAGGTCAGTACCTGATCAGGAAACATCCCCACAGGTGCAAAGTCCTCACAGGTGCAGAGTCCAGGACACTGGGAGGCCCCTGCTCCTCACCTAGGCCCCACCCTTGGTAGGATGACCTGTGGTAGGCTGAGGAAGCCCCCCTACTCCTCCCAACAGGTGCAGGGAAGGGCCTTCACTTCATGGGGAAGCCAGAATGCTGAAGCTCTGTAAGCCTCCGGTCCAAGCGAGCACTGCTGGCCACACTGCCTCCACTCCCCACGCCTGCCCGCCCCACCCGACGGCCCCCGGGCGTCAGGCGCAGACTCCAGCTCAGGGCACTCACCCTCGACGTGCAGATCACCTCGCGCAGGTTGATGTTCATCCAGTTGTCACAGCTCACCAGGTGCCCATTGTACGTCTCCCCGTTCTTAAGCTCCACTAACTGGAGAGAAACGGGTCCCCAGTCAGCCAGGGGCCCCACGGGAGGCGCAGCCCTGCCAGTAAGAGTAGCCCCACCCTCATTCCGATTATGTCCTCGGCTCCTTTTAGTACCCAGGCCACGGCACACAGAGCCCAGGCCCCCAGAGAGGCCTATCTTACAGGGAAATGTTCTGCTTTCTCGTATACTTTGTGGGGCACTTCTACAAGGAAACCTTTTGTTTTTGGTGAGGAAAAAAAAAAAAGACCCAAAACCCAATAAAATCAATAAAGGTTGTGATTTCAAAACAAACAAAAGAATACTCAGCCCTGGCCCATGTTCTCAGTGGTTAGAGCATCAGCCTGAGCATCTAAGAGTCGAGGGTTCTATTCCCGGTCATATCTGGGTTGCAGGTTCGATCCCCAGCCTCTGGTCAGGGTGCATGCGGGAGGCAACCAATCTCTCTGTCTCTCTCACATTGTTGTTTCTCTGTCCCCCGCCCCGCCTCCGTCACAAACTCTCTAAAAACAAACAAACAAACAAAAAACAACCAATGGGAAAAATATCCTCGGGTAAGGATTAACAACAACAAAAAAGAATCAACTCAGATATTTGTGAAGGCATACATCCATGTAAAAATGTATACATGAACATTCACAGTAGCCAAATAGTCACAAATAGCCAAGAGACAGAAAAAAATCAAATGTACATCAACTGATGAATGGATAAACACATTGTGGTCCATCGACACAATGGATTATTATTCAGCCATAAAATACCACAATATACAGGAACCCTGAAAACATGCTGAGTGCAAGAAACCAAACACACAGGCCACCTGTTACACGACCCCGTTTATACGGAGTGTCAGAAGAGGCAAATCCAGAGGCAGAAGGTGGGTTTGTGGTTCTCAGGGATTGGGCCAGAAGCATGGGGAGGAACTGCTAAAGAGCACGGGTCTCCTTTTGGATGACGGAAATGTTCTGGATCCCAGAGAGGTGATGGCTGTGCAATATTGTGAGTTTACTAAAGGCCACTGCATTATTCACTTTAAAGGGCTGAGTTTTGTGGTATTTGAATTACCCTGAATAAAAAGAACACACATACATCACAGAATTAGTTAACCCGCTGGGAAAATGAATGGAGGGAGCTTCCACTATGAGTCTCTCTCGTGTTTGACTTTTCTTTCTGTTTGACATTTTTAATAAGCACATATGACTTTTGTAAGCAGCAACAATGACACTGGTCCTGACCTGTGTGGGAAGTAAGAGACAAGCTGCTGTTGTGTGGACAGGTGGGGAAGCAGGTTTGGCCAGAGGCACCTCACCCTTGGCCCAGTGTCCCCATCCCTGTGCTAAGGCTGGTGCCCACTGAAAGTGGCTGTCCCAGATGGTACGTACCATGGGGTGATTCTGAGCCGTCTTCAGCAGTGACAACGGGAGCTGAAATGCAAGCAAAAGTACAAGATCTGTCTGTTTAATCAGCTCCGGGAGCCCCAGGCCTCTGGGGAGGGTCCCACGATAGCACCAGGAGAGCAGGAGCACACACGCCTAACCCCGTCCGGGAGAGGCATTCTCCTCATTCTGCACAACCCCAGGACACACACCTGCCCCCCAGTTTAGGAAAGAACCCTCTCAAGGCCCCTCTTTCCTCCCAGGGGCAGCTGACACCTAGGCCCAGTGCTGTTTATGTGGTATTTTTTTATAACTCACACTGCACATTGTCCTCACACCCACCATGCTTATCAGCAGCATCACAGCATACAGGTCCCTCTGCTGCTGTTTTGCTCAACTGATATTTAAGATGAATACACCCAACTCCAGGTCTCATTCCCAGCACTGCATATGGCAACTGTCACACCCTCTTTACAGATGGGGAAACTGAGGCTCAGAGAACTCTGCCCAGCACTAGAGCTAGTAAGAGAGCTTGGCTGGACTCTGTCTGAAGCCGGAGGGCAGCCCCAACTGGACCAAGAGTGACTCGGCCAAGCACAGTGGGGAGTCCACCTTGATCTGAAGAGGACACACTGAACTGGGTTTTCAAAGACAGGAGTTCACCAGGTAAGAGGAAGAAACATTGCAGAGAAAGCTTGTGGTTATTGCAAGAGATGGCAGATAAAGGATGGAATCTTTTAAAGCTCACCCAGATAAGGTGGGCTTTTAAGATATTTCTTTTTCCGTCATTACTGAATTTCTTTTTAATAACAAACATGGTGCACCTGGAAAAAAATCAGCTCTTCTCACTCTGGAAACACAAATCAGGACCCATACACTGGAGCCACCTCCGGCTCTCCAGAAAGTGACTCAGGTGTGGTGCTTGGGTCCAGGCCCAATGGTAGCCAATCAGTACGGCCAGAGGAAGGTTCTGGCCTAAGGACCCTGCAGACAGGAAACTGCCTCAGGGAGCAAGAGGTTTTGCTTCATCCTGCCCTGGCCTCACACGACTCACTCGATATGGGCAGCTGTTTCTCCAGGTGGCAGAATGGAAGGCATCTCCTGTGGAGGTGGAAATGGCCCTCAACCCCCACGGGGTGGCTCTCCATGGAAGGGCCTGGGTTGGGGGCCAATCCAGTATCTCAGAGGCCTTCCCCAGAAGAGTCACCAGGGAGGTCCGGAGACAACAGGAAGCCAGGCCCCAGCCCACTTCCTGCACTGGCTTCCTGGACTGGCAAGATAAGAAGAACGAGCCACGTGGAGGAGAGGCAGCTGCTCCAGGGAGGATGGGCAGGTTGGGGACACCCCTCTCATTTGGGTGCATCAGTGTGACGCTGCACCGGGCGTGAAGGAAACTCCCAGGAGGACCAGAATGGCACCTGGGGCCACGCGCCCAGACTGCCTTTACTATGGAGAAGCTGTGGGCTTTCCTGGGCAAGAGGGAATCTGAACCAAGGTGATGCGACACCGGGTTCTGCTCCCAGATCACTGGAAAGGGGAAGGGCCCGGCCAGACCTGGAATGTGAGAATGAAAAATGGACTCAGTTGCCAAGAAGCAGAGGGAGGGTCAGAGGAAGGAGTTGCCCAGGGACACAGAGCAAGGTCATAAGCCAGTGAGAGCAGACGGATGCCTGTCCGCAAGGGACCCACACATGTATTTTATGACATATACAGCCTCTAGGCCAGTGATGGCGAACCTTTTGAGCTCGGCGTGTCAGCATTTTGAAAAACCCTAACTTAACTCTGGTGCCGTGTCACATACAGAAATTTTTTGATATTTGCAACCATAGTAAAACAAAGATTTATATTTCTGATATTTATTTTATATATTTAAATGCCATTTAACAAAGAAAAATCAACCAAAAAAATGAGTTCATAGGTTCGCCATCGCTGCCCTAGGCTGATGATGGCCCCTCTCAGGTCACCACGTTGTCCAGCTGCTGGCAGCACCGTTCTGGAGGACCCACATCCTCCACGGCGGTCACTGGCTGCACTCTATCCACAGAGGAGCCGAGGATGCCTGAAACACATACGGGACCAGCACTTGCTCCCAGCCCTCCCCTGACTTCCCTCTCACTCACCCCCCAGGCGGGCCAGACCTGACAAGGCTCCAGCAAACAGGCCCATTCTGCTCCTCACTCCATGCAGGTCCCTATTGCTCAACCTTTGTTCCTGCCATTCCCGCTGCCTGGGGTGCCTTTCCCCAGGCTGGCTGCGGCTCAAACATCACCTCCCTCTGCCAGGACCTCATAATAACCCCATTTAGGAAGCGAGGTTTCCACCTGGGCCACCCTGGGCTGTTTCCATGATAGCACTTAGCCAGTCTCTAATTATCTTGTTTACTTGTCTCCCTGGCTAGACTTGAAACACCACGCCTCTTGCTGGACTGGAAAACTCAGAAAGTGTGGGCTTCGTCCAATGCCAAGCACGGGGCTGGGCACACCAGGTGGACTAAGGAAATATTTGCTGAATAAATACAAGGGAAATACACATACTGCCCAGGCAGGCACATGGGGCAGGCGGAATGCTCGCCCCACCCCTCAAATAAGGAGAAGCTCAAGGGAGAGGTGGCATCCAGACAGCCCTCCACGGCTGCAACCAACGACCAGGAGCAGTGGCCAGGTCTGGCCATCTCCATCCTCACGCCCAAACTGTGCTGGAGAACTTAAAACTCAACGGGAAAGAGGAAGATGGGTGAAGGTGTCCAAAGAAATGGGAGAGGGCCAAGCACTCAGCTCTGGGGGAGACTGGAATTGGGAAAGTCAGAAAAGCGCAAGGAAAGAGGGTTCCTTTCTCTGGGCTTTCTCACAACGTTTGGAGCCTGGTTGTCAGGTCCGGGCCAATCCTGGGCCAGACCCAATGGGCTCCTGAGGTTCCCAAGTCCAAAAGCCGGCATGGACCACCATCCCCGCGTACACACCCAGCCCTCCGCTTCCAGCCGCCGGGACCACAGGGAACTGGGGAGGTGTCATGCCAGTGGAAACGATGGGCCTGCACCTTGCACGGGCTCGGTTCTGGGCTCTGAGACTGTACCAGGGACAAGTACAAAGATCTGCCGCCACGGAGCTTAAAAGAGGGATCATGCTGCTCCTCGCGGGGAGGAACCTGGTCCCTTCTCTCAAGTCGCAGCGCGACGCGGGCGCTCCCGGGCCACGCACTCCCCCCGGAAGCCCGGCTCGGAATTCCTCTGCGGGGGCCTCCGTCGCCCTGTCAGGGTCTCAATGTTTCCTTCTGGGAACGGAGAGCGCGCAGTTGGTCCGCTCCTGGCTCAGAATGCCCTCTCCCCCTGCTTTGTGATCCGGGGAGAAGAAACCCCTTTTCTGGATCTGCTTTTCAGCCTCAATACGAGGCACCGGAAGTTGCGCTGCATTCTAGGGCTTTGCAAAAAAAACCCCGAAGTCCCCAAAACTGGTTTAATGAGAGAACTCAGGCGGGCCCCCTCCTTCCTCGCATTCCAGCTCCCCAACAGGAGGCCACGGTGGTCGGAGGAACTCGGGGACACTTCCCTGCCACACTCCCTCTGCTGCATTCACCGGGCCCTTCAGCGGGTCCCCGTCCTCTCCAGCCTCAGTTTCCCCATCTACAAAGTGGGAGGACTGCGGCCAGGCCGCCATACTATGGTGACACGTTCGTTCAAGCCTAAGTTTTCGGAGACCGACGCGCTGGGTACCCTAGGAGAGCCTCCTGCCCTCTCGGGCCTCAGTTTCTCCTCCTTGGGCCGAGGGCGGGCCCCATTACACACTCACTCCGCGCCGCCCCTGCCCAGAGCCAGCCCCGAGGTGCCTTGGAGGCCGCGCCCCCGCCTCCTGGCGAGCACACGCCATCACCCTGCCCTCACCATGGTGGCGGCAGGCACCTGGCCCGCCGGTCACTTCCGCCGCGGCCGCCTCCGTTCACGCGCCCGCCGGTGGCCGCCCCGCCGCGCGCCACTAGACTGAATGGAATGGCAGCGACGAGAGCCAGTCCGGACGGGGCTCAAAGGTAGGGTGACCAATCCGTGTGGAATAGGGCGGGGCCTGTTAGGCACAAGGGGCGGGCGGTGCCGTATTCCCGCCGAAGGAATAAGGGAAAGAGCCGTAAAGTGCCGCGGTGAGTGCTGCAAAACGGGGCGGAGCAACGTGCGCCGGCACTGGAGGCTTGTGGGTAAGAGCGCATGCTCATGTGAAACCCTCGCTGATGTGGGCTCCACACTGTGGACAAAACTGGTTATTCCTTACACCTTGCAGTTGGAGAAACCGAGGCTCCACGGTTATTAGGAAGTGCCTTCGGGCCCCTGACTCTTCTTTCTTTTTCGTTTTGTTTTGTTTGGGGGGCTCCTACGCTTCTGATACTATTGTAGTTGTTCCTTATCCAAGGCACATATTTTGGTAATTTGCCCCTCCGAGCCTTAGTTATCCACCCTATAAACCCAGTGTAATGATAGAGTCTGCTCTATAGAAGGTTTCGGTGAGAATGAAACGAGCGAAGCCACTTTGGACATCATCTGGCACATACTAAGCACAACGAATGCATGGGCATGCAATAGATATTTATTGAGCACCTACGACTTGCTTACTCTTGGAAACACAAGTGAACGGACCTGACAGAACTGGCTCTCCTCGGGCTGCGGAGATGGCCGGGAGACAGACGGTAAACGAAATGAGTAGGTAAATGTATTCCTTCCTTGCGCTGCTGTAAGAAATCACACAATAGAAGCCGGAAAGCAAGGTGTCAGCAGGGTTGCTTCCTACAGAAGCCGCAGAGACACAGTTCATCCCATGCTGCTCGCCCAGCTTCTGCTAGCTGGCAAGCTTTGGAGTTCCTCGGCTTGTGGACACATCACTCCAATATCTTTTTCTTCACACGGCTTTCTTCTCTCTGTGGGCCTGTGTCTAAATCTTTCTCTCCTTTCTATTACACGGACAGTCCTTTTTCTTAATGGAACCACTCTAAATCTAGGGTAATGTCACCTCAAGATCCTTAACTACATCTGCAAAGACCTTATCTCTCTATATAAAAGGCTAAGTGTCCGACGGTAGGTAAGTCCGATTGTCTGACCCACTGGTACATATGACGCACACTGGCAATTTTAAAATAAACGTTGACTCGCGCATGTGCGATACGTATAAAACTCTCACTCGCGCCAATCGCATGCGACGCCAGAATGTATCTGAAGACCAACTATTGGCACTTTGTTGTTGTTATATCATGTTGTTGTTTATTAATCAATTTATCAATCATTGTTTTGTCAATGTTTTTATATCATGTTGTTATTTGTTTATTAATCAATTTATTATTTTCATATACATTTTACTAATTTTCTTCTTGACATTTCTATTATAAAGGGTGGATAGTGATATTAAAATATTCTGTATTTTAATTTTATAATACTATCTATACTATTTTGATATGTAGTTTTTTGCAGTAACGTAATTACTGCACAAATCTTTCCTCTAATTAATTGCCTTTAAATGTACACGAATTCGTGCACTGGGTCACTGGCTTCAAATGAGGTCATACTTAACAGGTATCGGGGTTTAGAGCATATCTGTCATTATGTTAGTGGATTGGCCAATGACTGACCCCGTATAAAGTGCCAGACACTTGTTACCAACAGTTGTCCTTCATGCTTTAGTTTGGGGGTCCTGAGATGAGTACTCAAGGTCACATAGTGTGTTCAGGGGGTGACTCCAGGATGCCCCCATTGGGGGTGGAGACCTGATACAGGAAGGGAAGGATCCTGCGGGGGGCACCAATAAGAAGATGACACAGGAAGCAAGCGGAGGTCAGTCCAGCTGGGACAACAGCATAAGAGCTCATGTCTCATTGTGGTCCCACCCAGGGTCAGGGCAGCTGACGCATTTATTATCCAAGTCCCATCTATCATCAGTTCAAGGCTTCCCCCCGGGGAGCTGGCGAAGTCTGGGATGGGTGCAGGATGTTGACCGGCAGCCAACAGCGATGCCCTAACTGTGTTAGAGGGATCAGGATGAACTGCCAAACTTGGTTTGTTAGGGTAAAGGCTACTTGATGTAAACAACAGAAACTGGGGTGCATGAAGTGCCCCGGCATTAATGTGGTGGTGGAAGTAGGAAGAAATCTTGTGCTGCATCACTCCTTTCTGACTTTTCTATGCAGAGGCTTTCTTCTTTTTAATATATTTTTATTGATCTCAGAGAGGAAGGGAAAGGGAGAGAGAAATGTCGATGATGAGAGAAAATCTTCGATCCTCTGCCTCCTGCACGCCCCCTACTGGGGATCGAGCCCACACGTGCCCTGACGGGGAATTGAAACCTGACCTTCTGGTTCATAGGTCAATGCTCAACCACCCAGCTACAACAGCTGGGGGAGGCTTCTTCT